TGCCCGAAAAGTAAAATCTGTCTTGTTGGCAGTAATATGGGAGTTAATTGCAGTTTGCGAGCATGCTCGATTTTCATAACTCGTTAAATGAAGGTTCGAATCCCTGAAGGTGCAAGTGGTAAAATGTTTTAAGGTATGATGCTCATCTGTTTAATAAATCATGGTTTTCGTCAGATGAAATGTTTAATAGATATATGCAGTATATTGGAAATCATTATCAAAACATACAAGTGATAAACATAAAAGAGTCACAAACAATGAATAATTACAACTAAAAGGTCAATTTATCATTAGTACAATACATTAGTACGGAAAATATGAAAGACATACAAATACGTTGTGTAATGCACTAGTATCTGGTATTTACTTTAAAAAGAGCAGTACACCTTGTTTTTTATGCTAACATAAATTTATCAATTCTTCTTTTTCAGCAGTATCTTGCTTGAAAGATTAATCCATGTCTGGCAAGTCTTGGTCATGAGGGAATATTATGTTGGATAAGAACATAAATGTGTCTGTCAGCAGTCAGGGTGCCATCATTTTTGTATAGATTAATAACATCATCAGTTGAAATGCAAGGCACACACATATATTGGTCCTGCAACATATTTCATAGCAGATGTACGCTGGCATGATACAGTTCTCTATCCACCAGCGAACAAACTATCGTTGATTGTTGCCAAACAATTTGAACTAATCTATAAAGAGCACTATCTTCCGCTATATTGAACTCATTGTTTGACCATTTCAGCCTTTTGGTTTGCTTGTCTTTTCTAAGAAGTGTTTTTGAGCAGCTATTCCACCCACCGAGGCCACTATATGTTAACATGTATCTTAGTGTTCTGGTAATAACACTGACATCTGTACTTATAGGTTAAGTCGCTAATAACACTGATAAATTCTCTACTGGGTTGTCAGGTCACTTTTGAATAATTTGGAATTTATACCGGGACTGCTTCTTTATTACCAACAATACTAGTTTGACACACCCTCTTCACAGTTCCTACTGAAACACAACATTTCGCCTCAGTCTGTTGTGCGAAATAACCTTCACCAGTCAAAACTTTGGTTTCTACAAAATTGTCAAATAGCATTACTATCCTGGAAGCCATTAGTGTATTCACCACATTATTTGAAAGAGTATGACTGCCTGTACATTTAAAGGTATTATGATGGTGTGGCACATAACTACCACTTAATTTTCATACAGTAGTGTGGAATAATCCTAGAAAAGTTTGCCTTCTATAACCAATTTATTCATTTTTTTTCATAATTATTTTTAATACTGTATGTATCTGTACGTTATGAGCACTCTTCATTTAATGAATCATTTATATGGAAGAGCACATGTTCGTAATCTCAGTGTGCCATGGAATCGAAATTTACGATGATATACTGTGTTACCTCAAATTAAGCAGGTGCACTTAATTTTGTTCCATGAATAGCCACGATTTTATTCAGAGCATGTTAAGTGCAAACTTGTGTTTCAGAATTTTGCGCAAAGTTATGCAAGAGCTATTTCCGCATAGCTGTCCCTAATTTTTGAACTGATATACTAGAGAGAAGACAGCTGGTCAATAGCACTTGTTCGATCAAATAGGGGGACTTGGTCCTTACCCTTACAACTCACCCAAGAACAAAGTGCGAAGTGCGTTTTTGTGGCAACAGGTAGCAAATCACGAATCCCGAGATTCACAGTATGGACACGCCCAATCCACATGAAAAGTGCAAACATGACATTTGACAGTAACAGCAGCAATGGAAAATGTAGGCCACAACTTCACAGCATGTTCAACATGACAATATTACGATGCAATTCAATTCTTAACTGTCCAAAAATTGAGGTTCAAGAGGGTTTTGGATATTTTCGAATTGACTGGACTTGTGTACTTGAAAACTAGCATTAACTTTAAGGAGTTGCTCGAAACAATAATCTAAATTCATTTTTCGGAGAAGTTTAAATTGGAATCATCCATATTAGGTTTTGGGGCTCTCATAAGCTGATCCACGAATTTACATGAAAATTAGAATGGGCTTGTAATGGAGCGTTTAAAATAATAAAATCCGTTTAGGTTTTATGAGCCTCGTTCTGGTACTCCCAAACAGAAGATCGAGGGGGTTTTGGAGCTCTCACGATTGGATCTACGGATTTACGCGACCAAACAAGGGATCGTTCAAGACAAGGTACCAATGTTTGGATTTTCGGAACTTAAACAATGAGATTCCCTAATGGTGAATCAAATGTAAACGGTCATTAAACACAACGCATGCAAAATATTTTGTGTTGTTATCGTTGTCTGTGAATTTTCTAGTTTAGCGATATAAATGTCGATTATCATAACGCGGTTGTAGTTTGCAATTTCCCTTTTTATTTTTCATAAAAAAATTATATTATTTGTTTACGTGCACATGAAACTACAAAGTAAAACATTAAACTTAGAACTAATAGATTTAGTTGTGTTTGCTGAGAGAGAAAAGAGAAGTTAAAAAATGGGAGGGGGGATGAAACTGAGAAACAAAATTATTTTTCTCTGTAGTTATTTGGTGAGACAAATTAATTTAATTTATTGTACACAAACGTTCTTACCGAAATCCAGAAGTCGTGGGTTACTCCAGCTCGTTCTTTACCACGTTACTAGTTACTTGAAAGTTATGACAACACAGTTTTAATAAGTAACCGAAATTCTTTGTTATAACCTCAATATCAATATATCCCGTCGAGGAGACTAAAAGAGGTGCCTAGCTTTGTACTCTTTAACCCAGCGTGTTTGCCAAGGCACATAACAAACGAAAGCACTAAGAAACAAGCGCAAGAGAGGGATGTTATAGTGACTGATAGATCAATAATATAAATCAGCTTCACAATGAACCCCAAATGTAGGGCGGAGACAATTAGTATAAGCGAAGATCAAGTCACGTGAAACTGAAGAGGGTCAATAATGTAATTGTGCTTCACATGATTCTTGTTCCGAATACAAATGACAAGAACAACAACACGTGGATATAAATAAAAATACGTTTCCGCCTGACCTCTCAATATGGACTGTTTTAAAAATGGTTACTTTTTAAATTCTAATTGAAGTCAGTTTTGTATTTAGGTTCATAACAATAGCTCAAATTAAATTTATACATGAACAACTAAACGCTATTCATCGAAAATTAACTTACCCACGATTACAAACATCGCTAAACTGTAATTAATAAAACTCCATTTGATTCTAATGCTGATCATTAGTTCTAGTAACAACGCTAGATTGAATATTTGTTAGTAACAACTGCTAACTTGTGTAGCTAAAAATAAAAACGTCTCACCCGTCTAACAGCAAAACGACGCATCTACCAAATGAATGTAAGAATAAGTAACAGAAATAAAACTAACGGGAAATATAATTCAAAAACAACAATAAATAAACAGAATTAAAATTTTTATCCACGTTCAGTAGCCGCGTTAAGACACTGGGGGGCCTTGGGCGAAGTATGAACTAGTGACCCCCTTGATTACCTTTCAGTAGCCGCGTTAAGACACTGGGGGGCCTTGGGCGAAGTATGAACTAGTGACCCCCTTGATTACCTTTGCTTTTAAGAAAATACCATACAATTTGTTCAACTCAATTTATTATTGATAAAAGAAATTAAGAAATAATACATACATATATATAATTCTTAAAATCACTAGTGTCTTATTATTTATTATTATACTCGCAGGGCCGGGGGGGGGGGGGGGCTGACGGCAGTGATCCCTGGACAACTGCCCCTTTTGCCCATTGGATGGATAAAACGGCCCTGTCCACGTACGTTCAGAGTTAAAAGATAATTCCGATTACTTCCGCCTCAGAAAGAAATATTGGTGACCTTACTATGACCACATTACCTATAAAATAAACTATATTAGGAAACATATCTATATTCAATACAATACACGACAAATAGTGCATCTTTTCTGTTACTTTTTTCACCGAGATAAGGCTGTTACATTCCTTCTGAACAATTAAAAAGGCCGAACTTTTGACGTCACACTGCATTTTTCTCATGCGTCGAACAATTTTTATATAAAGATGCCGTACATAATCTCTATAAATGTTTATCTTAATTTAAAACCTGTTATGCAAACAATACATTTTAAGGTAAGAAAAGAATGAAGGAGTTCCGAACTATCTTGCTAAAAAAAAAATACTGGTTTTGTCAATAAACTAACTTCATTTCAAGAGTTAAAAGAGTGAACCAGACTAGAATATATTAATTAACTGTGTTCCGATACTGAATCACATGTTAATTATCACTACCACATGTTCAGTCTCCTGATTAACGAAGAATTCTTGCCGCATATTTGAAAATGTCCGTCGGATTTGTTTTTCTTTGTATAATGTACGAGCTTATTAAGTAAAATTGCTGTTGTTAAAATTATTTAAACTGTTTTATGTGAAACTATTTTAAGTATAGTCCTTATTATCTGTACAACGTCACTTTGCTGTATAACTTACGGCTTTTCTCCGATTATTCAGTTTAGTGACTAAAGTAAAACTCTAGTTATGGTCAAAGTTCTAAAATCCATAATTAAATAAGTATACACCATAAAGAATTATTTGAACTGCAACAACAACCAATCAACAGGTTGGACAAGTGATTAATTAGATATTTCCGTTTTACCTACCTTTAAGTACCGAGTTCTGATTAGATTTATTTTTCAGGGCTAACTTAAAATACTGTTTCGTTTTAAATTAAACTAATTCACTGTCCACTGATTAAAAACCAATTATGAGATGATCATTCAGTCTATCACAAATTTTAAACTAAAAATAAATAAAGGAAAACAAAACCAAAGAAATACTAAACCGATTAGGTTGACAATTGCCATATAATAATTCTGTCTACGTGCATTTGATCGTAACAGCCTAATATTACAGTATGCCGCATTTCATTCCTTGTAGGCCTAATGTAGAAAAAACAAACACATTTTTAAATTTTGTATATGAACGTATATCAATGTTTAACGACAGACTTTACATTAGATTCACCCACTCACCCGGTACACAAGCTATTTCAGTATGTAACAAATCAGGATCCACCTGGCTGATGCAACGGGGTTTGGACAACGTGTTGTTGAGGGTTTCTTTACAAACGCCAGGTTGGGTTTGTTCAGTTGTTTCTCCTCCTGGTGACAACTCAGTTGTAATCAGAGAGAGGCCATCTTGTAAAAATACAGGAAAGGCATTAGTGTCTGCAAATACCCAGCTTGTTTGTCGGCAGACGTTACATTTTAAAAACCGTAAAATTATGTAGCTCAAAACAACAACAACACAATCAGTCTTCAGGAGATTCATGAGAGGGTTATATGTTGTGATTCACCATGCAATTCTTTTTAGGGCTTCCATTATGATGAAAACAAACAAGTAGCTAAAGCTTACGGAATATATATATATAAATAATAACAGAAAACAAAGCAAGAATTAACTAACTACTCATCAGACTTAGATGATCATATAAACTGGTAATCATGGTAGGCCTAACATGGCTTTGTAGTTAAGGCACTCGACTCGAGATCTGCGGGTCGCAAGTTCGAATTCAGTCACCGAACATGTTCGCCTTTTCAGCTGTGGGGGCGTTATAGTGTGACAGTCAATCCCACTATTCGTTAGTAAAAGAGTAGCTCAACAGTTGACGGTGGGTGATGTTGACTAGTTACTTTCCCTCTAGCCTATCATTTCAAAATTCTGGACGGCTAGCGTAGATAACCCTCGAGTAGCTTTGCGCCAAATTTAAAAAAAACAACAAACTAATCATGACAAAGTTTGGCACCAAATTACCCCAATATTATGAGGTATGTATGTTCATACTAAGTAAAACGGAGCAACAATTATAAATGAACTGTATATAATCGTTTGTATTAAATTACATTAACATTATATCAAATTATTTTGACGGATAACTTCGAGTTTATAATGTATGTACATTACGTAATGAACCACTGTATTGACCGTGGTTTTTGGTAAAGAAAGAAAAAGTATCACTTCTGTTCCTAGAACCGGGAGTTGGTTAGAAAGGGCATCATTTTATAGTCTTCGTCTACAAATGGGGGCGAAAAGGGGAAACACCAAGAGGAGTGATTTTGGTGAATCATTGAACACACCTATATATAGCTCACATCTGATGAATGGAAACAAAAAAGGAAAGTCTAGTCTCCAAGAAATTTCATTCAAAAATGGTGATACAAAGTAACCCGCTGAGAGGAAGCTTTGAAATCTGGAATCTATGTAACTCCTCTTCATGGGCGTCCCCTCACAGCGACAGACGAAGAGGGGAGGAGGGAGGGGGACACTTCTCCCTCCTTGAAATATTGAAGTTTTCATTCTGAACAAATCTTGAAAGTAAAATAAGAAGTCTACAATACAACCAGTAAAACTTGTTACTAACTTAAACTATATTCTTGTCATGTTATATGAATTACGCAATACTATTGTTACGTGTAATGTTTCGCACTTGAATGTTGTCGTAGTAGTTTCATAGATATATTTAAAAAAAAAGGATGAAGGTGTTAGAGAGACAGTGATTCCATGAATGATCAAGATAATGAGATTTAAAGCTGGAAGATTTACGTTCAAGACCATTATATAATTGTATCCAGTCTTGTGCATGAACAGTTTGTGAATATATATTTAATTCATGTGAGATGTGAATGAACAGTAGGTTAAAATAAATATATAGTTTAAATGATGGTTAACTATAATGAATAGACACGTAAAGCACATTTTTGGAAAGAACACAAAGGAAAATCACCAAGTTTTTTATTATTCCTCTTTTTATATAAATAAGTTAGTGAATATAACAAAATGCAGAAACAAAATAATTATTTACAAATATTTATGAAAATACGAAAACATAAATACACACAAAGTATTTTATATGTTAATCAGATTGTACTCGCAAGAGAGAAATACCGATCAGAAAACAAACCAATATAACAGGAAAAAATACAGGAGAAAAAGCATTCTAACATGTAGGATTCAATTTTTTCTAGACTCAAAAGGGAAACAGTTGAAAGCTGGTTAGGCTTTGAAGTACGACTGTGATGTTAAGCAAATTATGATAAGGTTATTAATTAATATATACAATAAAAATGTATGAAATATATAGGAGTAAACATGAATTAACCTTAAACAATGCGAGTAATGCACATGAATAAACACGAATTGACCTTAAACAATGCGAGTAATTTACAGGATTAAACATGAATTAGCCCTAAAAGAGCATCTTTCAGTAAACAATGACGACCTTAAAATACAGAAAACAAAAAAGGTAGAACTAACCGCTACACAGAACAAAGGAAAATGTGATGATTTTTTTTTTACACCGTGCACAAAGCAAACGAAAGTGGGGCGATTGGCTTTTTTTTTTTTTTTTACACGGGTGCACAAAATAAACGAAAGTGTGATGATCTTTTTACACTGGTGCACAAACGATAGTACGGTGATATTTTTGAAAAGCGTAATTAATCTCTGAAATATACGTTTTTTGTCACTTATCTTAAATTCTACAAGAACATTCTACAGGTACGACAAATACTTCACGACACTCACTGAACACTAAACGACAACGTAGGAGATCGGTCTCAATGATTGGGAAGCCAGTATCTTTAGTACACGCTAAAGTCACAACAAGAGGTTAAGTTAATATTTGCATCCTATTATAATGTAAGAGAAATTTGTTTGTCTGTATTTTTGTCCTCTAATTCCTCTTAGATTTTTGCATATATGGTTCAATCAACTAGGAACGATTTTTGATGTGTCAAGAAAATATTTGTCTTTTAAGATGCATATATTTCACAGCTCCAGTACTAGCTAAATGTAGATCAGTAATGGAGGTGGCCACTAGGGGTACTGATGGGATTTCTCCACTTTCCTCTTTCATTCAGTCCACGTACTTTCGATCATTACTGGCATCTTACGACAGAAACTATTTATATTCATAACTGGTAAAACATTAATTCTACAAATGCATTTCAATTTCATACCCCATCAATCATTGGAGGGATTTTTTTTTTCTTTCACAAATTGTTTATACATACTTTCAAGATACATACACTTATATTAAGCAAGGTGTTTTTAAATCACATGTTACTTATTGATTTTTGATAAAAAAAGCTAAAGTCAAAACTATAATGTCATTTAAATAATCAAGCCCAGTGGACACGGATAACTTTATTATTATATACTTTTAAACTTTATACTGTCACTGGCATATTCAAGAAGAAAAGAAAAACTTCCATAAGCCTATCTCCGTGCATCTGCTAGTATTGTCTATCAACACAAATTAGGTCTACGTTTACTTTTCTCAACACAAAATAGAGTAAATTCGAACAATTTTTTCGTTGTCCATTTAGAATCCATGATCGTAAATGGTTATAAGGAGTTCGGGATGACTCTTTCAAAACAACAAATGCGCTAAAACATGCTGCATTTACTAACAGATTACGGCTTCATACCCCCCCCCCCCCCATTACCAAACCATTACGAAATCAGAACGTACATGATCTATCACAATTTTCTTTGTCTAGCAACCAGGGTGGCTTTAGGGAGGTCTTTTCTGAGGTCATGAGAAAGGAGGGTGTTGAAAAGGAACAAGGTTCTGTGTCAAATTTGATCCATATTCACTTGAAACTCATGATATTCAAATATGGATTGAAAGTGTACATATATTTATAATAATAATAAACTCAAATGTGTTCATCTGTTGTTGGACAACAGATTCTTACCCGCGATGGTGTATAATTGAAGAGACAGACTATGTTCAACGTCAGGTGAATGCTAATACACAGTTATAAACAATTCATGACTAATTAGGTTTTTTTTTCAGTATGTTTTGTCTTTACACGTTTTTCAATTACACTTAAAAGATATTTTCATTTCATTGTTTTGTGATTGCTGACAACTTTAGCTCACTTGTGCATAATGATGTTAAGTTCTTATTTTGTAATTGAATGTTTATTATTACTACTACATATACACACATATAATAATCGATTGTGTTTACATGAATATTAGGGTTCAAACCTGTGTTTATTAAACAAACATGCTCTCAGTGGGCTCGGAACAAAGTTAGGGCTGATTGATCTTCTATAACCCATCGCCCCCAGAGAAACTGTGAGTAGTGATAACTGGTTTGTACTAGTAGTAAATCATTACACAGGCCCGATTCACGACCAGAACGTAGTAGACAGAAATGAGCAGGCTTCATTCACCTTTTCACCTGCAAACAGGTTGCCTGAGGTAGAATCTCCCTCCCTAAATTATATTCCAGGTACTTTTTAGGAGATGCGTAGCGGGCAATTGTGTCCCTCACCCACCTGAGTTTTAGACTACATTACAAAAATAAGATACAAAATCTCGAGCAAGCACCAGAATACGAACTAAGTAAAATTGTGTCCCTCACCCACCTGAGTTTTAGACTACATTACAAAAATAAGATACAAAATCTCGAGCTAGCACCAGAATACGAACTAAGTAAAATTTTTCTTGCGTAATTCCATACCTCTATTTTCACTAAATGTTACTGTAGAACTAAAATATACAAACACGGTTATCGCGAATAAACTTATAAGCTAAGACACTAAATATTGGATTAATTCGTGACGTGCTTTTATCGCTTTTTTAAATAAGTAATTCACAATTTTGATTTTAACTTGATGAAGTCTGATGTGATCTTATGTTAAGAAGAATTCACATAATCGACAAGATTATATAAAACACATCTAGTTTGTAGTATAATAGTCAAATAGTCCCAAGACGACGTAAACAAGCATTGTAAGCCTAAAGAAACAGCAATTCATAACGTTCAGCAAGGTGAAACGATGTTTCTCTTTGGATATGATGAGACATGAAATTCAAAAACTCGTACAAAGAACACTGAAATTAAACAAGATGGGTACATTAATCTAATTCAAGCAGCCACCAAAAGGAATAAAATACCTACACATTAATAAATGACCCTAAAAGTATCTGCACTGGTATTTAGAATTTATCAAATTTGACTAAACTTTGTGTTCATTGGTTGCTCAAAATTCGATTGTGTTACAAAACTTGACACTGCGTGTGGTTTCTTTCCTTCAGGGCGCAAATTATTTTAAAATAAAATTTGTACAAACAAAATAATAAACACATTTTTTTTTGCACAATTCTCAAGGACCAATTGAACATAATGTAACAGCAAGTAGGTTAAATGGGAGTACAGAAAAAAAAAACAACGACAACAAAATTTATCTCGGGTGGCAGCTACTAATAAAAACTGTAATAAAGCTAATGACAGTAAAACTCAGAATAGCGTACTCTAGTATTAAACAATTCACATGCTATCAATTTATCTACCTCTATCATTCAGTGATGTTGCTGTGAAAATGAACAATTATGATGTATATATTATGCACCTGATAAAAGCATAAGGTATTTCACTATGTAGCAATTAAACAGAATTGACTTTACTTCTTCGCTATTATATAATTAAAATTAACGACTTTCGAGAAGCAAATACTGTGATACAACGTAATTAAACAAAACTATTGGTAATTGTTCCAAAACTCATTGCCATCCAAGATCAATGGAGTACTGTTCCAAACACATGGGGCCTCCTAGTAACTAACCCTATGTAAGAAGAATGTAGAAAGATAAGGGACAAATTGAACAGTGCCACCTATAGTGTTTAGGAAATTACCATTTTTGTAACTTAATGGTACAATTAACCATGTCTTAATTGTCTTATACATCCATAACAATTAATAAAATGAAACAACCCAAAATATAACCACCCGACCATGTCAACTTTCATACAAGACCTTTATTTGCTTTATTATTTTTAGTTTCTTTGTTCTTGGGCTACGTTATAAATAGGAAAAAATTGGTTTTTTTTTTTAGAAAAAATGAAATGCATAATTAAACAACTTGGAGTGGATATTGGTGTCTTGTAACATATATGGAGAAATACACGGAGAAATGAAGAAAGGGGCATTTTCTGATCTTCCAATATAAAGTACAAACACGATCTTACCTGAAGCTGATGTTAGTTTCTCCATGGACAACGATTCTTTGACTGTTTCACCAGACAACGCTGTCTCAGGATGAGCTGAACAGTTATCATCATTAGGCTCTGAAATCTCCACGTAATTTCCTCTGTTCTCCGTATTGCAAGGAGAATGTTGAGAACACTCTTCTTTTTCAACATTATGGGAAAAACCTAAAGGACAGCATTCTTGATTTTGAAAATTTTGAGGAAACTCGGAAGAGCTTTTCTGACTGTCAAAATGTGTCGAAAGATCTGCAATACAGTCAACAGTTGGATAATTTATTAAACAATTTCCTTGAACATCTAGAGACATGGAGGGATGAGATTCAATATTATAGAAGTTCTCAGGAGTATCGTCCACTGTAGCGTTTAAAAGTCTAGTTTGGACAGAAATGTCTTTTGTGTCCACTCCAGAGTTGTTAAGGCGGGTTGAGGGATCTGAACACACGTGTTTATAAATTCCAGGGTTACGTAAACTTTCACATCCAATTCGTTCTATACCTCTCTCAACGGTCACCAGGAGGTGCTGCAGAAGGGTAGGGAGATATTCATCCGACTCAGGATTCGAGAGTACACCTACTGCCGGATTCGACGTTCCAGGATCTTTTATCCAGTCCATCGTCAAAAGTTTATCGAAGCATTTCTCGTTGATTACTCGTTCTTTAATGCCATCATAATCCCTGTACACACAGGTGAGGAGGAGGGAACAGTGTCGATCCCCTACTAGCTCACGGGTCTTCTCGCTACGAAGACAGAAGTAATGATCTCCAATCCTCAGAAACGCCCTGTCTATTTCACTTAACTGAACGACCACCCGTTGCTGGAAACACAGCGGCCAAGCCTTCCAAGACTGCTCGCCATAGAAAGGACACGAATCGGTGACAGATGTCTACAAAAAATATGAAAAAGTTAAAATCAGAGAAAAATGTGTTATTACTTAAATAAGACATACAAATCAAAATTCGTTGATATTTAAGAACGCGCGTGTACACGAATTCATTCCAATGCATCGTAACAAAGGTTTAATTGATACCAGTTACTTCGTGTGCTAACTTTATTCACTGAGAAAGACTTGGTAGTTTTAAGGGAAGTGCCTTCACAATTAATCTCAGCTGGAGATCAGACTGGACAGAGGAAGATGTAATTATATCTGCTGTGCTGCACATAGATGATGATTCACCCAGTATTGGTCTTTCTAATACAAGTTCTGCACGTAACTGACTCCAGTATAAGTGATGTAGTTTGAAAAACTAACGGAATGAAACTAGTAGAAAAATGAATACAATATACCAAGCAGAAGGAATTATATTTAGTTCTAGTTCAATATTAGGACCATTGGAATTATTATTATTATTTACATACGTTTAATACCCATAGCGATAAACTTTGTTTAAAGTATCTTACGTAGATATGGATGATTACTGTTCATTTGTAATAAGCCAACAGGAGATTGGAGGGAAATGTTTAAAAAGAGAAACAAACTGGACAAATTATAAGCATACATATATCATGGAAGAAAGATGTGGTACGAACTTGGTTAGCAAAATAATCATAATCATAATCGAAGTCAACAACTAATTTAAATCATACCACATGATATGTAAATTTTATTTAAAAAACGTCTAAATTTGATCGGTACCCCCTGAACGCCAAACTAGTTCGTTATCATGTTTAAAGAGAAATAAAGGACAGATTGATTATTTCACCGCAAAATTAAATCGTTACGCAATGAGCTATCTGTGTTATATCAGCCGCATGGATCAAACTCCGATTTTGGTGGTATGAGCTTCAGTTTACTGCTGAGCACCCGGGGGGGGGGAGGTCAACAGCGCGGATATTGTAGCTTTGAAACAATACTGATTGAGGGTCGCGAGTTCGAATTCCCGTCATACCGAACATTTTCGCCTTTTCAGCCGTGGGGGCGTTATAATGTGACGGTCAATCCCAATATTCGTTAGTAAAAGAGTAGCCCAAGAGTTGGCGGTGGGTGGTTTTGACCAGTTGCCTTCCCTCTAGTCTTTTACTGCTAAATTAGGGACGGCTTGTGCTAATAACCCTTGTGTAGCTTTGCGCGAAATTCAAACCAAACCAATCCTATATAATAGTGACAATACAGGCCTGATTTTCATACTGTAAATCACTAAGACGTAAAATACAATAATGACAATACATGTCTAATCCTCATACCGTAAATCATTAGACGTCCTGTACAATGGTGACAGGTTTGTAGAGAGAGACTTAAAAAATAAAAAGCCGAAGTGAACTTTGACGATATTTGATAAAATAGGCTAAAGTATGAAAAAGAAAAATGTAAGATACATATGTTAATTTAAGACAATGCAAAGTAAATACAAAGCACTGATCGGGTATCACCAACATTTGGTATATTAGAATTGTGCATAAAAATGACTTAAGAATGAGATTAAAGAGCAAAAGATATGTTTGTTCATTTCATTTTCCTTTAGCGTTACACATCTATAACGAAATCTAACTTATTAAATCCAAACCAGTTCACAAGAAGTGGGAATAAACTAGAACAACGCAACAACTTACTAAAATTCGAACCAGTTCAAGTGGGAGGCGTGAGAATAAACTGAAACAGCAAGGTAACTTACTAAAATATGAACCAGTTGACGAAGTGTTGAAATAAACTATAACAACACAATAATTTATTAAAATACAAACCAGTTGATGGGCATTGAAAGTAAACTAGAACAAGAAAGTAACTTACTAAAATCCAAATCAGTTGACAAGGTGTGGGAATAATGGTTTATTCCCACACCTTGTCAACTGATTTGGATTTTAGTAAGTTACTGTGTTATTCTAATTAAATTATACCAAAGAAAATATACGAGCGCTAGGCTTCGTGGGGTTGGCGGGACGGTAGCAAGGAGGAAAATTGAAACGGCTGTTAAATTCGTGAAAAATGAATAACGTTAAGGGTTTTCAAAACCCTCTACCATAGGGTATACCTGAGAACTCCTGAAAGTTGTATTGTAATCGAAGGTCGGGAAGTTGGAAAATTTCTATCACTGACAAACGGGCAAAAGCTGTTTTATAAGTTACTATGTTGTACTCGTTCTTATACCTCGTCAACTGGTTCGGATTTTAGTAAGTTACTATGCTGTTGTAGTTTATTTTCATACCGCATCAACTGGTTCAGATTTTAGTAAGCTATTATGTTTTAGTTTATTTTCACACATCGTCAACTGATTCGAATTTTAGTAAGTTACTGTGTTATTCTAAGGCTTATGCAAGAGCCTAGAGAAATATCAGAAGGTGTCGAGTTTGGAAATCTCAGTGCTGATCCATGCCAATTATTATCACGTGCTGCAACTTCCTTGCTGTGGAAGTGCATAACAAATTTCAGTCATCACTTTAGCCTTGTGAGACTAAATATGTTAATATTTATCGATAAACCTTACTCTTAGCAAGACTCTTCGTATGTATAGGTCGATTTTTTTTCCGAATTTCTACTCGAGCCAAATTTATTCAAATGATCCCACACTTAAATTGTACACAGATTGCATCATTTTTTTTACATCCCGATTTAAAATCTTTGGAATTAAAATTTTTTTGTTTTGTTTTTTCTATGCGCGTATCGTCATTATGATTAACTCTCGAACTCAAGTAAGCAGAACATTTTAAGTACAATTACGAGCAGTTCGCTAAAGTAAATCACAATAAATACACAGTTTAGTTATTCAGTGTAATTAGAATCGAAATGAAAATTAATTATATAGGCACAGTGTTTGGGATTTATAAAAATGCACTGCTTACATTGTAATGATTCATCAAAATGATTCCTGTATCTTCGCTGTTAAACAAAGTTTTTGGCCATAATCCTAATAACACCTCATGAAATTCGTCTAACTTATAGAATGCATAAGACAATTCTAAATTTATATATATCAGCAATGCAGAATATATCTCGATACAGTTTGACAAAAATAGCCAGAATAATAAAATAAGCAAACGACTATTTCTTAGCTTCCGCGATTTCGAACCCATAAACACACAATTCATAACAGTGAATCGAGCGAACTATTAAAATGAACAACAATGCTGACTATGATTTAACTCCAAGTACACGATTCATATTTTACAGTATTAAGTTAGATAACGCATGTTCGCCAAAGTATGAATTTCTCTTGAACTTTTGTTTTAGGAATATTCTCGCAAAACTATTTGAGGGTAAACTGCGTTAGCTGTCCCTAATCTTGTACTGATAGAGAAAAGATAGCTACTCAACATCACCCACCGCCGACTCTTGGGCTAATCTTGTCTGACCGAATAGTGGGATTTGACCGTCGCCCTCAAAGTGTGGAACAAGATTTGGGTGCGAGGGAACGGATATATAGTTCGGAACGCTAAACACTCGGCCTTGCTCGGGATCTTGTGGTGAATTGAAGTAAAATTGACGTTTTTATCTATTAAGAAAATAATGAATGATCCCAATTTTTTCAAATCGTAAGTTTCACAATTTCGCCACCGTTCTGGCACTTCGAAGCATCGTTTAAATACATTGTACCTATTGATGTGAATTAACCACATGTATATCTTCTATAAACTGTCAACAAAACACGAATTAAGAAACTACCTCAGTCACGAAAGTTCAAACAAAAAGTAAATACATGATTATACAAAGAACACTAGATCTAGCTATTTTTAACCTTAAAAGCACTTTATGGCGAAATGATCAGATCCGAGATCACAAGATTCAAGCATATATATATATATACATTTAATTTAGAACTGCTAACCAATAAGCATATTGGCTGGCACTGGCAC